CTGTTAGCCAAAACATTAATTTGATATTTTTTGCTTTATATTTAATTTTTACTGATTATATATATATTCATATAAGAAAGTGGATATAAACTTAGATTCAATTTTTAAAAGTATTTTAGGTTCAAAATTCAGGTTGGGGCAAATTGTCAAGTTTTATGTGTTGTAGTTTTGTATAATTCATTAAAATTTTTTTAGCCAAAGCTAATTGAATTTGATTACAATTTTTTTCTCCTGAAAAGCCAAGTCAATAATAATATATTTTAAATACAAACATGTATTTGCAATAATCCATATGAAACGTGATGTTTAATATTATTTTTTTTAGAGAGAGAGAGAGTGTGTGTGTGTGTGTGTATGTATGTATGTGTGTATATATAGATAAAAAACATTTTTTTAAATTTTTTAAATGGTGTTTTCTCAAATCTGTTTATACACAGCAGGTTTCCGATGTAAATAGCACTGCTAGAGTCTGTAAAGTTTGATTCTATATACAGTAACAATAATCACACAATGTCAAATATTCACTGAAGTAAAAAATGTGCCAAATAGCCCCGGTCACCCTTACAAAGGAACAGATTGTACTTGATTTAATTCAACCAAATTACAAGGCATAACTAGAGAAACAAATAAAGTCTCATTTGACAGATTTATCTGCTTAGCAGAATTTCCTAAAGTGAGAAATTTCATTTCCAATTAATATTCTCTCCTAACATACAATATTCTTTCGATACATATTTTATCAAATAGACTTGGTACATTTATGTTAAGCTTATGTAGATTTATGGAATAAATGTATCTAGGAACATTAACGTTAACTTAAACAGCGTCATCTACAGTTAATTTTCACAGAAATGACGTGTTGACAGATTTGACACATTCTGTCATTTAAGTGCTTAAAAATACTTGCATTAAGGCTGAAGCCCATGTTCAAACTTCACGTTCGGCTGCGACGGACTCTTTAAATACGAGCTTGTTTGTTAGCTAGTGGCGATCTCATCGACTGAAATCTAACGCTCAATAGGAACAAAGGTGTTGAAATGGTATTTCGGACATTCTGAGAGAACTTTTGAAGCAGCTGATACTTTTCACAGGTTTGTCATCCGATAGCTATTTTGATACGTCTAAAAAAAAAGCTTATTTGTGACTGCAATGATGTGCATTACACAAAGAAAGCAGCTTCCTAAAAGGCAAAGAGGAAAGACTGTAAAAGGTGGGAGAGGGCATGTGGTTAGTATCTCCTTTCCTTTTTTTAAAACAAGCACCATATTTCAGTTCTGAAGCACAAATAAAAATAACCTGAACTAGTCCATCCCTCTTCTGTTCTTTCTTTGAAACAGTACCAGATAAATGAAACAAAAAAAACAACATATATGTAGGTTGGTGTAAAGAACCCAAAGCACCATAACCCTCCCCCTTAAAGTGACATTTTATGATTATTCAACAAACAAAAAAACAAACAAGCAATTACATGGGATATTTATTAGAGTGGTTAAATCCACTTTAATTTAGGAAATAATGGTTATTAATCCCCATGGAAGAAACCCCATATTTGGACACGTGGGCAAACACCAACAGGTTTTTTTGTACTGGAACGTCGTCACCCTGATTGTCAAGTGTCCGCTGAGACGAAGAAATTCCCAATGCTACAACATTTTCCAGCCGCGTGCTGCTGAAACGTTTGCACAGTTATTGGCTGAGTAGAACACTTTGAGGTTATACACGTTCAAATAAACGGCTGTTGTCTGATTGCTTTTAGAGAGGCCTGCAGAAGAGCCCGACTGAATGTCTGCTAATGCTGAAATATAATGGCACAATCTTCACGAGTAGGCTTCAGTTTCCAGACAGCCTTCGACGCCTCCCTGCAGAGATGCACAGTTGTGTAGCGGCAGGAACATAAATAAGCTGCCGCTAGTAATTAAAAGTGCAATACATAATTGCTGAAGCCAGCAGGCCGGTTATGGTACTGCAAAAACAGTCCTATACAACTTTGACGCTGACAACCAGGGTCCACAATTAACGTTTTGCCAATTTCACAACGACAAGTATTTCATACTGGTCATAAAACTATTTTGTTTTACTTACCGTATTGTCCCGAATATAAGACAATGTTTTTTTCTTGGAAATACATCTGAAAAAACGCGGTCGTCTTATATTCAGGGTCTAGACTTTGACATGTCAATAATACACCCACAACACTAGGTGGCGCCAAATACGCATAAAACGAGTGTGCCATGAAATACGTAATGTAATGCGTGTTGTAAAGATCGCGAGTAAAAACAAAAGAAAAAGAAAACCTTACAGCTGCATGAGTCGTGACTGTCACGTTAGCCTGATGGGACCAAACTCCCTTTGTGATTTTAAAACGCAAGACAGTACCCAGATTTGAAGACTACAGTAAGATTTAACTTCGACTGTTAATAAGATTTTGGTAGGCTACTAATTAGATGGATAGCCTAAATGTCCTAATTCAGATGGACTACCTGTTTTGTTTTGTTTTTTAATGGTATATCAAAAAGTGTATATTTTTTAAATGTGATTGTTGGTACATTTTACCAGTTTTTACCATACTTTCAAAACAAAAATTAAAATAGGAAAAATATGCAATATGAAAATAATTGAAGACAAAATGTGTTTTACTGAGAAAAAACAAGATTTGGTTTTTAAAAAGCCTTTTTCCAAAAGGTACATCTGGAAAAAGGGGGGGGTCGTCTTATAATCAGGGTCGTCTTATATTCGGGACAATACGGTACAT